ATTGGAAGTCTGGGTTCAAAGCAGAAGTATACTAAAAGTACTAGGAATATGCTATGAAGTCAGTACTGAGGTCTGGGTAAACTTTGCAAGAGTAGCCTGTGTTAGTGTTCTAAAAATAGATAGATAGTTAACAACAAGAGACCCTCTACATCTTACTGGCAGATGACATACTCTAAAATGTGTAATAGTCTAGGAACCAGTACAAAAAGGGTAGCTACCATACTGCTCAAACAGTATACCAGTTAGATATATAGGGGGGGTTAGTTGGGGATTCCAAGATGACAGGCTAGATGATCAGAGGGTTTAAATAAATAATCTCCTAGTAGGTTATAGGTACGGCATCTAGTATAAAACTCTTGGGTGGACTACTTAAATAGGCAACCAAAAGTTGCATACATGACTAGCTGTACTCCCATCTCTGTAAAAATAGTTGTAATAGCTAATCTGATATAAAGTCAATAAAGTATCACTACAAATATGGCTTTTAACAAAAAAAAAAAAAAAAAAGGTTCTACTTAAGCATTATTTAATAAAAAAAAAAAAAAAGATTTGTAAACTTTAAATTGTATCTTCTCTGTAAATTACATATTAACTATTTTGAAAATTTTATTCAATTACTTAACAGAACCTATATTTTAAACTAAAAAAGAGTTTTTTGAAAAAAGTTTTACTAAATTTTTATTTAAATTTGTAGAAATAACCTATTTGTCACAAAGAGTGATAGTATTCAGATTTTTTTATAATTGTATTTAGGATTAAAAAGGTCATAGCATATAGTAAAATTATGCAAGAAGTATTTTTTCTTAAGTCACAAAAGTTAATTTTATAGACATAATTTTGAGTTATTTTAATTTAAAAATTTTAAAATTTTTGTAATTGCTGGCAACAAATAAATTCACCTATATTTTATTAACAATGATCAAGTGGTTTATTATAGATAATTTTAATTGTTACACAAAAAATTGTTTATTCAAACAACTATATATAAATTTTGAGTTACATAGTATATTTAATACCCCAACATAATGATAAGATTGTAAAATGCAATAATCATGTGCTAATACATTATTGTCTAAAGCATATCGGAGGACACTCTGTTTTTATATTTGCCTTTGATCAACAATGTTACATGCATTCTGTCTGTTCATTTCCAGATCTCTGATTGGCTGTCAATCACAAGCTTATTGATACTGGTAATTTAATTAATTGATTACTATATTTAGCTTCAAACACATAATGTTATGTATGCATTTTCTAGTTGTAAATACATTATTAGAGTTTGATTAAGCTATATATTTAGATTTTGAAACTGGTTTTAAGCATATAAAAATTGAATACAAGCTGTTACAATTTTGAATAACTACAAATTTCTTCCAGTACCACACATTAATACTATATATCAAGATTGATAAACCTATTTAGAATTATGTATTTGAAGTTGGTTTAATATTTTTCTATTAATGTCTCTAAATTAAAAAATCAAACCACATTTTGATCAACATGAGTCATTGAAAAACTAGAAATTTTAAGTAATACTAATTTTTAAGACAGACTTACAGTACATACAATATTTTTTATCACTAAAATATGAGAAAATTATTGTTAAGAAGTCAAAATTTTTTGATATATATTGTAATGTTTTTTTTTTCTTATTAACATTTTATTAATTGTTATTATAACTTCGTCTGTTATAAGCAAAAGCATTTTTACAAAAACTATTCAGAAAGCACTGAATTTCATTAATATTAGTCTTTTAGAAGTTAGGTAAGAATTTACTAAGTAAATTCTAGTTATTATGTATCTGAAGTTACACTGTCACTAGGGAGGACTAGGGAGAACTGGAAGCACACTGTGGCCACAAATGTGCCTGTAAACATCCTTCTCCTTTATGTCTTATCTAAAAGCTCAATCTAGTCTTGCATAGAAGTTGTGGTAAATAGAATGCATTAAATAATGATAATATTTACTTATTATTTTTCTTCTCTTATTCTAGTTGCAATGAAGAATATATAAATTTGTTTGGATCTTATAACAATGATTTTATATTTGTATATTGCAACAATTAAGTTATAATTAGTAATATTAACTGATTTAAAAAAATAATTAAGAGTTATCTACAAAATACTATAGATATTATTGTAACATTATTGCAAAAAAGATGCTCAATCAATAATTCGAAACATGCAAAGTCTTTAAAGTCTTTAGCTAGCATTTTATTTACTAGTGTTAATAAAATAGCACTGATATTCTGGCATACTTTTTATTAAGAAAAGATTATCAATTTGATTATTAATGTAAAATTTATAATCATATTGAAAAATTTAAAAAATTAATTATGAAACTTGAGTTCTTAATTTTTTTAATTTTTTTATTACTATTGATGGAATATTTACCCAAACAATTATTTATAAGTTTTTTAAATATTATAATTTATACTTAATGCATTATTCTAATAATTTATCATAATATAGATCAGATATTTCTTCAATATTTAATTTTTTTGTGTAAGATTATTTTAATGTTTTTATATTTTATAAATAATTATATTATATTTTTATTTATGCATATAAAAAAGCTCAGTTATTAATATATTAAAAAAATTTTTTACTGTGATAATTAGTTTTGTACTGATAGAGATATATTAGATTAATGTAAAGTTTCTTACAAATTCTCTTTGACTCAATAAAATGTTTTTTTTAAGAAATAATATTCAAACTAAAGAATTAAAATTTAACTTTTAAACTTTTTTATTATATTAATTTATAATATACTATGATTTCATTAAATTTTTAATTGTAAATAATAAATTAAAGTACAAATTAAAATTAAAATTTTGAAAAGCTGGCTTTTTTTAAGCAAAATTAAGATAATTGAGTAAAATTAGATATAATTTCAACTAATTAAGTTAGACAAAATTAGATATATTTAGATGAAATTAATGTAAATGTTTGTTTTGTTAATAACTTGTAAACACAAAAGATTATTGGTTTGAAATCTAAACGTATAAAGAAATTGGTGTTTTGTGTGTTCCAATATACTGCAACAAAATTTTGTTAAAGGGGCTTCTATTTGATAAGAATCAAAATTACTAATAAACATTTGATTATACAAATATTATTCAAGTTTTTTTGACTTGTAATCACTCTCATAAAATTACTAATAAACATTGGAATGTAAATATCTTGTTTTGTTAATAATCTGTGAACACAAGATTATTGGTTTGAAATTTAAATATATAAAGAAATTGGCATTTTGTATGTTCCAATATGCTGCAGCAAATTTTGTTTAAGGAGCTTCTACCTGATAAAAATTGAAATTATGAATAGACATTTGAATGTACATATATTATTCAAGTTTTTTTGTTAATTATTGACTTGTGATCACTTCATAAAATTACTAATAGACATCAGAATATAAATGTCTTATTTTGTAAATAACCTGTGAATACAAAAGATTGGTTTGAAATCTAAATACAAAAAAAATGGTGTTTTGTGCAAGCTGCAGCAAGTTCTGAAGTTTCTTTGTTTATCATTAACTTGTGATCATCTATAGAGAAATCAGAATGTAAATAGCTTGTTTTATTACAAGAACAGATCTTTTAAATATTTGCTAATTAATATTTGAGTGTTAACAAGTGAAAACAGAAAATTGTAAGTTTTCTAAAATTAATTTTACAAATCAAACTCTGAAAAATGTAGTTGGCATATGATTTAACCATACTATATATTATAACTAATAATATAAATAATTTTAAATAAAATTTATTATTATTATAGAAATTATTGTTAACTTTATTTTTTTACAATTTTTTTTTGAACTTCCACTTTTCTCAATTTCTTCTGATAGTTTTTTACCAGCTTTTTTTTTTTTTGCACAGGTTCCTTTCAAATGTTCAACCCTTTTTATAATACTATTCGATAGTTTTGAACAAAGTTTATTATAAAAAGTAATTGGACAGTATAGGCTAATTTTGCTTTACAAGTCTACTTGTTTTTTTGCTAGAAGTCCTTTTTGTAAAAGCACTAGAGGGTTTAAATAATTTACATCAACACCTTGCTTAATTAACATAAACTTGTCTCAAGGATTTGTAATCTTTACTTTGGCTTTTATTATATCAGACCTTTCACAACTAAATTAAAAAAGATGATATTTCTAAATTGCAGAAGGCTTTTAATAGAATTTACTAAGTGCAGTTGTCTAATCCTAAAATAATTCTGTATTATCTTCTAAATTTACAGAAATATTGTTATATGAGCTTCTTTCTATTAATTCAGCAAATTGGTCAATATACCAAATCTCTGATTTAGTATATTTTCTTTTTGTATTGCAAATTCACAGTTAACAGAGTTTCTAGTATGGCTCTTAATTTGAAAACAATACTCAATTTCTTGAAATATTTAAGTATCATAAGTCTAAAAAAAATACCAAAAAAGATATGAATTTTTATTTTGATCTCTATAATTATCTGCCTATAATTAGATTTTCTTGGCTTTATCTGCTATAAAAAGTAAGAAATAAATTTATTATCGAGATAACTTCATTTGCTTCTTTGAAGCTTTATCTTTAATATAAATCATATGCCAATGTTTGCCAATTCCTTTATCAACTAAACTAAGCTGATATACTTTCAATAATGATAAGTAATACCATCTTCTAAGTTGCTAAGAATTTTGGAGCAATTTTACATTTTGAGCAAAATCGAATAAAAAAATATAAAACAAAGATTGATTACAATTTTTTGCTGTTTTTACATCATCTTCATAGATCTCTTTTATTTTTTGATAGTCTAATATATAGTTTGCTAGCTTTTCATCAAGATTCTCATTTATATAATTAACATTTTCATTTAATGCATGTTTAAACAAAGTGAATTCATCATATACATCCTTGGATGGTTTTTAAATTGTAATTTTATTAAGTTTAGAATTACTTCACTATATTTTTTATAAAGTTGAATGACTTTTAATGCATCTATTTGGATGCATTAAATTATAAACAACAAGAAAGTGATCATATAAATAGTAAATAGAGAGAAAAATTACATCATATTTTTTATAAGTTACAGTTATTTGTTCACTTGTTTTTTTTTATATATACTTTTGAATAGCTAATGCCTTATCATGTTGTTTTCTCATCTCTTGAATAAAAGATTTTGCATTAATAATTGTTTTAATAGGTAAAATATTTACAAGTATATAACCAATATTACCATGAGGAGGGGGCAGCATCAATTTACATTTTTTAACTTAGTTATAAAGTCTATATAAGGCATTTTTTAGCATCCTCAGAATGTCTTAAAGAAAAGAGAACATATATTACCAAAATATGGTAATTGATATTTAAGATAAACTCTTTTTTTTTAGATACTTTATTATAAAAAGCAGCTATGAGTATTATTATTAATGATTGTTATTGTTTTTTATCTATTTGAATAGATTCTAATGCTAAAGATTGTAAAAGATTTGAAGAAACTTTTTCACTGCATTTTTCTTTTTTACAGGTACAATTTTTTTTAAGCTTATCAATTAACTTATTCAAAGCTACCTGATACTCCTCAGAAATCTGTATATTGTCTTCAGATTCTTTATCTGTAGAGGTACTTTCACTAGATTCTGAATCTGATTCTTGATCAGTATTTATTTCTTCATCATAATCATAATCTTTATTCATAGTGTCAAGATCTGACTTGTAAGATGAGTAATCAAATAAATTGTCAAAATTGTAGGCAATAATATTAGAAATTTCTATAATTAAACAATAGAGACACAGTTTTTACTTAATAAAATAATAGATTGTATAGTGAATGTTTTATTTTTTTGTAAAATAAATTTAAGAATTCAAAGGTTTTTTTAAATATTTTTATAATTAATAAATATTTAATTGAATTATTAAATTACTGATAATGGCTGACATTAATATTAATTTGGTCAATCTATCTCTACTAGATAATTAAAAACCTAAGTTGGTAATTAATAAATTTGGTCAAATAAAAAATAGCCATAGGTGATATTGGTTTCTAATAATTGCTTAACATCTTATATATATTAAATCAATATAAAAAAAATAAATAAAATTTTCTAATTTAAATATAGCTATAAGCAAAAAACAATATGCTTAATTTATCATAGGATAACAATATGCATTTATTATAGAATTATGTATGCTAACTTTAAATTCATCAATGATCAGATCAGTAAGCAGAATTTCAGTTTTTGCTTATTGACACTCATTTATTATATAAGATAGGTATGTTATTGATAGGAGTGTATAAAATTGATATGCAAAATCTGTAATAACCTGCAAACACAAAGATTATTGATTTGAAACCTAACTATATAAAGAAATTAGTTATCTGATAAGGAGCTAAATTACTAATAGACATTTATTATTTCAATATTTGAGCATCTTGAGTATTGTTTAAGTGTTTCACTTGATAAAAATAATTAATGACTTATGATCAGAGTCATCAGATTTTAGAAGCATCTAAAATAACACTATTTTTTTAGCAAAATAGCTAGCAATATTGTTTGTGCTAAGATGCAAAATTTGTCACTTTTGCACTAAACATGTTATTATTACTTTTGTTTTTGAACTGATTTATACAAATGAGTAATTATATATATATTTTAGATAATAACTGAAGAACTCACTGAAATAATATATGAAGAACTCGTAAAAGAGAAATATGATTACATTAAAATTTATACTTAATAAATATAAATTTATAATAAGTTATTTTGCTAATTTTGTTAGCTAGTTTTACTTTTAATGAATGGTAGCCCTGTTTATGATCACAATATCTGCATAGAAATTACTAATAAAATTGAAATGTAAAACCTAAACTTATAAAGAAATTGGCAATAAAACTGATCACAAGTTGTGATTGGTTTTATTTTTTATATGTTAGCCCTGATTAAATCTAAATTTAATATATATAATATAAAAAATAAAATTAATTTCACACTTTAAGCTAGAGTATTCAGATTATGTGATTTCAATTTAGTTTATTGCTGACACCACTAAGTTTTAATTTTAGTCAAAATATAATTGTCAATGACACATTAAAAATTTGGAAGCAAAATAATAAAAATAATTTTTGAAGTTTTATAGAGTTTTATAAATATAAAAATCTGTAAATTTAAATCCATATTGTTGCTAATTTCTTAATGTTTGCACTTGGCCTTAATTCTTAATCAAATTATAATAAAAATTCTTAAAAAGCTAGAATTGTATTCCAAACTTTTAATTTTAATAATGAATATTAATTTTGACTATTGTAGAAAGTAATAATATTTTAGTAAAACACAGATTAAGAGGTTTTAATTAGAATTTAAATACTGATCTTATTTTCACAAATTTCTTAATAATTGAGGAATATCCCTATCACATAAATCAATTTTTGTTAATTTTGTAATTCTAAAGAATGCTTCTCTTAAATTATGCTCTTTTAAGATTTGAGTTACTAATAATAGATTTTTGAATATTGACTTCTTCAACTATGTTTTTTTATATCCTATAGTATTTCTTTGTTTTATTTATTTTTTTTAATAAATCATACTCTTTTCTTGATAAATCACTTGCTTTTTTATCTTCTTGAGTTTCTAAGTAATTTTTAAATTTTTTGAGAGTTTTATTAGGTGAATGTAGCTTAAGAAAATTATCTAAAAATGTTAAATCCTATTTAATTGGCTAATAATTAAAATGATCCTCAAGAGTTTTATAAATTCTATAAATTTATAAATGCCAACTAAACCATCATATGGTAGTATAACTGTAATATCATAAATTTTGTTTTTGTTAATTCATTTTTTCATTTCAGTTTTCTAATTAACTTTTGCCAATTTTGAATCAATCTCATTATTTTTGCTTATATCATTTATATCACTATATAAAAAAGTTAATCATCTTTAAATTTGAAGAAATAAAATTATTTAAACAAAATATATATACTTACTGTTTCTTTTAACAAAAGAGTATGTTTATATAGCAAAAATTTGATGATAGGTAAGAAAAAAAATTTTTTATTTTTATTAACAATATATAATTTTGTTTTGTGTTTATTTTTTTCAGATTTTCCAATTTTATTTATTTAAAATATTTTAATTTATTGATTTATGATTTTGTGGCTTCTTGTGAGCAGCCATATTGCTTATTCAAACAAAAAAAAATGTTTATTGAAAATGTTTTTATATAGCATTTTAGTATGTAATATGCATAATGTACTAGTGCATTACATTCTAAATTTGGCACCACTTCTTCAAAATTCTTAATCGAATTCAGGTTGTATTTATAAAAAAAAGAATACTGTAGCTTAGTATTTAAGATAAAACTGAACATGATAAAAAAACTGTAAAATTAAAAATTGAAATATATCTTTTGTTAATTGAGAACTATTATATTGTTATCATATCTAGTATACATCATTTTGCTAACAAAGCTTACTATTATTTTTACTTTAAAAACATATTTTGTTTTTGTATGTGTTTTGTTAATAAAACAGACCATGAAATATTATTAATAAATTATGCTACATGTTAATTGATAAAAATTTCAACAACATTTTATTTTAAAAATAAATAATTCATAGTAATTTACTCTGTAATATTAATATTGTTGCATTCTTTAGAATTTATTGCATGTCTTTTAAATATTAATGTCATTAATAAACAAAAATTGTTTGTTTATACTAACTAATTATTATATATGTCAATAAATGAACATTGTCACAATTACTGTATTTATTGTATATGTCAATATACAAAAAGTACCACAATTACTGCACTTTATTCTTGAAGACAAAATAATAATCATTAATTTATGGCAACTTGTTATACATAATTAGTTTGTTATTATTAGCTTTAAAATATTTAAATAATATAAATTTACAATTCACAAGAAAAAAAATAATTAATTAAAATTTAATAAAAATAAATACTTACTTGAATTAAAAATATTTTAAATCCAACTGATAAATTAAAGTAAACCCAAAAATGAGAAAATAATTTATTATACATTATATCTAGTAGCAATTCTGTTCTCTCTAAATATGACTCAAGTTCAAATCAAACAACTACTTCAATTTGTAATATACTAACAAAAATAAAAAAGCCTTAATGCATAATCTCACATTTATATATACTCTATTAGACAACTAATTGACAAATCACATTATTATTGCTCAATCAGAAACTTTATTGATATTCAAAGAAAAAACATAGAAATAGGTTTGCTATTAAGCCTATTTTATCCTTACAAAGAGGTAACCTGTGCACTTCTTAATAGCCAACCTAAAACAAACTAACCATCACAGTTCTTATTTCTAAATTTCCTCTCACTCCTGCACTATTCTGACACCCCAAACTAAACAACTATTTTGCTCAATAAACTACCTATTCAAAACAATGCTGAACAACCTTATCAGAGTGATAAGTAATATTCATATAGTTAAAAAGAGAATTGAGTTGTTAAATAATGTGTGACTCTTTATATATAGCTATAAACTTTTTTATAGTCCTTGTACTATTATTACAGCCTTAGAGCCAAAAACAATTGAAGGTCCTTGCACTACTAAGGCAGCCATAGAGCCTTATTCTTATGGAATAAGCTAAGGCTCAATTTTGTGATCATTACAGTTTGTATAGCTGCTGAGTTACTTACTATTGGGGGGAACAGATAGGATGAATAAGCCAACCTTTTCTAAGGTGACCAATAGAAAACAAAAGATAGCTATTATCTCTTAAACTGCCATTCTTATAACACCCTTCCTTTTCCTTACTATTCACATGCACATGCCTTTTCTCAAACCCCTGGGCCTGATAATCACTACTCTTTTACTGATATTCATAGCAACTTAAACAATAATTAATTATATGCAATCATAAACTTAGCATTATTATAAGCCTGCTTCTAATAAAAAGCATTAGACTAACCTAAAATAGAACATAAACAAAAAACAAATTTGCAATAAAATCATTTGATCTCTCAATAATAAACACTCTATCACTTTGTTAATAAGCTATCAAAAATTAAATAACTAATCAACAACTAATTAATATCACATTATAAAAATTTACATAATTTAAATAACTAATAAACACTAAATTACAAAATTGTATACAGATTAAAATTTAAATAATTTTATCAGCAATTCTATTTATCATACCAGAAAACAGAATTCTAGAAACAATGCAAGTCTGCAATTTGTTATAAATAATTATTATATATTAATTCATAATTCTGATTTCAGAAATGATATATAGAATTTGCTGAATACAGTAATTTAAAAGGCATGATAAACAACTTGAAAATGGCATGATTATACTTTATTTCTACTAATTCATTATCTTATGAACTATTATCACATACAGAAGTGACTATCCAAATATGTAAATAATCCTAATATTGCTACACAAATAATAAATAATTTTTTATATATAATAAAATACATCTATTAGAAAGCTTGAATAGCTTAACTTTCTATAAAATGCAGTAAGTATAATAGATTAATTAACATCTTGTAACATGTCTATTTAATTCCAACAACTTTTTTGTAATTTGATTAGCTAATTTACAAGGTTACTTACTAACATTTATATATAACCTTATCAAAATTATTTATATATCCAGACTGTAGTTACCATCTACTTGAATAAAAATCATACAAATTATACAAATTCAACTACATTTGGCTTATTAACATAACTACACTTCATAAATTCAACTCCCTTGATGTATCTTTTATCTTTGTTCTTGTATAATATCTAATCAAATTTGCAGATTATTTAACCAAATTTAGAACAAACAATTTTAAATCTGGTCAATTATCTACAATTTTGACTAGAATTAAGGATAATAGATTTTTCTATTGACTAAATGATTAGATACAATAATTAAAATATTTATTATTAATGTTAAAAATATAGCACCAATCAACCAGTCAACTAAGCTGCTCTGACCAGTCAGTATTATTTATAGTTAATGACTATAGCTAAATGGTTATGACCATAACTGAATCTATCTCTAGCTCTCTAGCTACAAATTCATATATTACTAAAAACTATGTGAACATAACATCATTATTGAAAAGTAGTTTCATATAGCCTCATCTCTGTCATAATGTAAAAATAAGGTCTTGTGATCAACATTTCTGTATAATGAATGAAAGCTATTGTTTACTACAAATCCAATCAATAGATTTTGATAATAAAGAACAAGTAAAAAGTAAAAAATATCAAACTGATGCATCTAGACTATTAAATTATACTTTTATTAAGATGCATTAAGAGATTGATTTTACTAATGAACAAGTAATAATGATAAGTTGGAAGGTTAAAAAATCATTTAAATAATTTATTTGAATATTGGCTTGCACAGAAGACATTGGAAGTTGAGTTGAGTAGTGAACTGTATAAGTGAAGGTGTTTGATATTCAACATGTCCAATACCATGAGTACCATTAATGTGTTTAATGCTGTATACTATTGACATAAGGCAACATGTCTTGAGCCATAGAAATATTCTAGTTTCTGACTTCTGGAAATTGATTAGCATTATGACAGATTATTATTTAGAAATTAGGAAATTTAGTTGATAATGATAAATTACTGATTTAAAATGATCAATCATAATTAGTGATGGGAAAATGCACATTTTATAATAACATGCACATGAATTTACATTAATGTGCATAAAATGTTTCATGCACATGATATCGCATGATAAAAAAAGACAAAAAGAAGAAAAAATATTCAAGAAAAGAAAAATCTTGATGGATAAAATGTGTATAAAATGAAATCATGTGTATGAATGCATATTAATATGCATGTTTTCAAAATTATATGCATGCATGAAACCTGTCTTTAGTCATAATGATATAAATTTTATTTATTAAAAATTTTACATTTTGTCTGCATGAAAGAAATTTTAACAAATACTGTATTTTTAAGTATGCACATATAAGGATATTTTTAATAAATCAGTAATTTAAAATATTTAAATTTTTTATGTAAAAAATTGTAAAATGAGAATAACATGTATTAAAAATAAATATTTTCATATAGAGTTAGTACTTCTATCTGTTTTCTATATGTTTTTATATAAAAAATTCAGATATATATATGAAAATTTTATAAAAATATATTCAAATACAATCTTTATTCTCATATTCTAGTGCTATAATGTCAATGTCAATATCGATATGTAATTCTGTAAGATTAAACAGCTTTTAACTTATTATTTCTTGTTAATTTATCATGAGACTTTATTAGAATAAAAACTAAATTGACTTCTATGTTCATGAGGGCCATAGGAGTTTAAAAAATTAAAGCTAATTCTTAATAGCATTATTATAAAATTAAAATTTTAATATTTTAAATACTGTATAAGTTTTTTTTTTACTATGAACTGATTTATAATTCTCACATAGGCTCAAATTGTAGTGACTATGAGTAAAATGGTAAGTTAGGCACTTGTCAATCAGATATATCAAATCAGCTTAGTTAAAAAAGGCAGTTAGATTTGAAGAGTAATATATTTTATAATCATAGGTATTAAAATACAGTGAAGGCAAGTAATTATTTAGGATTAAATTTTATGATAAGCATTAACTAAACTCTTCTTAAAGAGTCAAAGCCTATATTATTTATTGTTAATTACATATACAGTCTTTAAGGTATTAAATGTATTAAATGTATTATCACCCTTATATTCTTTTAAAGTTCTTTATTACTTAAAACTCTTAACTCTTATATATTTCTTTAA